GTCTTTGTGAGCCTTCATCCCAACATCCTCCACAATAGCCACGCAACCAAACTCGTTGATGCCCGTGAGCTCCTTTGCCGCCTTCACCAAGTACATTGTAGTGCTCGGCATCCTCCGTGTCATTTTCATAACTCCACAGACCCCTCCATGAACGTAGCTGCCGGTGTAAAAGGACTCCGCCCCTTCCCCGACCTCTGCCATTTTCAAGCCTCTTCTTTTCGGCCTCGGCAGCTCCTTCAGCATTGCCCATAGACTCAACACGTCTTCCTCCCGATACGCTTCTGCTGCGATCATCTCCCGGGCATAGCGCTCCACCTCTTCATAACGGTCCTGGAGGGCTGCTAGACGAACCTTCTCCCTGAGCCTTCTGCTGGGAGCGGGTAGCTCCACTTCAACTGGTTCTGGCTCCACAATAGCATCTGCGTCCACCAAACCTTGTCTCACATGGCAGCTCGTCACAAAGCTCCCGTCTTCATACCTGACGACCAATCCGTTAGTCACATCGGAACTGCGACCAACAAACTTGCCCTCACGCCATCTCGGATCCAAGTCGTAGGACCCACCAGTACCAAAGACCTTTGACTTCACAGCCACCTTGGCTCCAAAAGGAGGGTCGTTGCAAGGTTGCCCAAGAGCTCGTTGTCGCTGTCTGTGCGCCGCGTAGGACATTGCCAAAGGCCAACATTCTCGTGGTAGGCCACCGGCATCGAGTAGGACTTTCGCATATCGCTTCAACAGCCTCACAGCTGCTTCGGCGCGTCCATTTTGTTGTGGGGCTTGCGACTCACCCGTGGTGACCCATATGTCCTTTTCATACAACCATTGTCGGAGGGACGCCGACTTCAGCTCTCGTGCACGGTCGGAGTGGACGCGGACGACCGGATGCCCTTCTTGCCGTAGGCTCAGGTATAACTTCCTCATAGCAGTGTTTACATCCGTCTTTAGCCTGGACTTGAGGGGGATCACATAGAGGAGGCTTTGATACTCCATAGAATCACCAACTTCTTTGTATACCTCCTTGTAGAACTTCTTGTAGTCCTCATTCCTGCGATCTAGATCGTGTTGGTCCTCAATGGAGTTGGGAGGATCCACAATCTCCTCCTCCTCAAGGAAATTCCTCTCATCGTCCAACACTTCGCCAACACCGGCCCCATCATCTTCTAGATCTTCGGGTATGTCCATGTCCTTGTAGCCCTCAATCTTTGGCAAACAATAAGAGCCGATCAGGGCGTAGCGGTACTTGCCATCCGCATCCACGCCCCTGGTACGGAGAGGTCCTGCGATGTCCACTCCAAGAGTGAAGGCAGACGGGTTGAGTACTCGTCGGTGGGGTCGTCCGGTGCCCGAGTTGAACACACATGTTCGGCAACGTTTGTCGAATGGTACATGGCCATTTCGGACATGTTTGGCCCACTTCTTCAATTCCGCCTCGCTCATCTCGCCCAAACTCCCATTCATTGCGCACAACAGCTGTGCCATCTTCAACTGGTCCGGGTGCTTGAACCACTGCTCCACTGCCTCCTTGATTTCACTCACAAGGGCCTCGGTCCATTGCGAAGGCGATCTGTTGCTGGGTGGTTTGTTCCCGGAGAAACACATGTTGGTGGCCCCATAAAACCCTTTGTTGTCGCCCTGGCCAACCTTGACATTGAACAGCTGGTACTCATCCTTAAGCTTCCTCCAGGGTTCTGCTGCCCACCAGCTGTTGTTCTCGGGGAGTTCCATAAACAGAAAGGGCTTGCGTAGACCATCTTTCTTGGCCCCTTGCTCTGCAACCATCCACAAGTACATAAGCTTCTTCTTCAGCTCATCCTGATCGTCACGAGGTGGTCCTCCGATCACTCCTTCAACCTGGCCTCGACAGGCTGCCCACAGGAGGGCTCGGATTACATTGTTCCAGCCCTTCATGTTGAAGATCTTAGAACGCTGCAAGTCAATTTCCAGCACCGTAGTTGTCTCAGACTCCAACTGTCTCAAGTAGGTGGCCGTCGTTTGGTTCTTGCCATCGTACAGGTGGACTATCCATCTGATTTGATGTAATCGGCGCCTGGTTTTCCTGTTCACGGGAAGGGCCTTCAGGTAGTTGATGCCGGCATCGTCGCTCAAGTCCAAATCCGTGGGTCCCACAAACGAGAGCCTATCAGTAGCCGTACTCAGCATCAGGGGAAAGGTTGGGTCCATCAAGGCCGATAGAGCTTGTGACCTTTCTCCGGTCGCCACGTAGTTGTCGAGGTTGTTTTCCCATGTCGAACTTGTAGGTGACAGCTGGCTCCAAAGTCCCTTGGCCGTGGCTTCACGAAGTTGAGCCAGATTCTTCTCCTCGATCTCAGAAATGAGCTTCAACGCCTCCAGCTCATCAATCATCGGGCAGTTGCCGCGCATCCTCACGGCAATGTCCCCGTGAACGGGGTGATCGACCCTAAGGCCCTGTCGTCTGGACCAATTCACCGTACAGCCCAGCCGTCCAGCTGTTGTACCAGGCTGCCCAACGGAACAATCGGCGATTGGTCCAGGGCTCGATCGTTGAGAAGCGTCCCGGTTCGTGTCTGGAGGAGGTCCACCTTCTGGCCGTCCGCGAGTTCGACTGATACATCCTTCGCTTGTTGTAGCTCAAGTTCGCTGGCAGCCTGGCGGAAGGGGTGTGATGCACCGCTGTCCAACAAGGCCATCCTCTCGTCAGTCGCCCCTGCCGCAAGGAAGAAAAGTTCAAGATCCTCCCTTTCCGAGTCCACGCCATCAACCTTCATGCCCATCAGCTTGATCTTGCTCAGCATCGAGTTAGCCTCTTGCAACAACTGCCTCATCTCTTCTCGATGGGCAGAAGCGTCGTCGCTGGTAGTAGTCGATGGTCCGCTGGTAGTGGATGCCGTTGCTCCACTGTTGTCCTTGTTGTCCGCTGTGCTCATAGTGCTTCGCTGCTCTGCATCCACGGATTGGGCCTTTTCAAGCGTCGAGCTTGTTGCCGTAGTAGCGGTTGTGGAAGAGGCCGAGGTCGCGTTGCTCGGCTTTCCCTTTCCTTTTCCTCCTCCCCCACCACCGGTCGTAGGACACTCAGATTGCCTGTGGTTGGTGGCGCCGCAGGTCCAGCACCTCTGCTTTCGTTCAGCCTTGGAGGTAAACTCATGGGTGTAGGGGCACGAGCTCCCACGCTTGCATCCATTGTCCGAGGCAAAGAACTTGCATGGCCCCTTAGATCTCGTAGGGGAGCCTGGGGTTGAAGTCGAGCCACCTGTACCAGCTCCAGTGGTGGTAGTCGCACCCTTCAGTCTCGTGGATTCAGCTTGGCGTTTAGGGGATGGGGCGACCTGCTGGAGCTCGGCGAGCGCGTGCTGGTAGTACTTGAGGACTGACTCCTGAGTCGGTGACGACGACAATCTCAACTCGTTTCGGGCTAGGTCCAACCTGAACTTCACCTCCGGAAACTTCTCGAGGACCTTCTGCAGGGTAAGATCAAGTCCCTTCAACAAGATGCTAGCATCCGGAGCCGCGATTCCCATCTCATCTGCTCTTGCCAGGTATCGCCGCCATTTTCGGAGCCTTGCCACCACCTCAGTTGGGTCATCCGTACCACTTGAGCCACTGAGGTGACCGAGGATGGCTGATCTTTCAGCCGTTCCACCTGGTTGATAAAGGACGTGTAATCGATAGAGGACTGAAGTCACATTCTCGACCCTGTGGGTAATCGTGTCCTCCTTCACGCCTCTGGGCATTGCGCTGAGCAGCAGTGTCAAAACCCTCCGCTCAAGTCTGTACCACTTCTTGTCCCTGAGGGTCGCCGTGAGCACCGGCACTATGGTCAGTCGGTCCATTGCTGATGCCCTTTGGTAGCGGTCATAGGCTTCTCTCGCACACCGAAGGCTCTCACTGAGCCACGTGCTCGCGCTGTCTGTAAGGGCACCTAGCATCTGCTCCGCCACGTAAAGCCAATCGTTGAACTCCACCGCGGCGTCCCCAAGTTCTGGCATAGGGGGCAACTCAATGTTGCCCTTCATCGTCTCTGCTTCAGACGTGTCCTTCTTCGAGATTTGCAGCTGTTGCAACTGCCTCATGCCCTGCACCAACAGGTGCAGATGTCCCACCATGGCGCCTTCATCACTCACGACCTTAGACCGGTTCTGCCCATCCACATCTTGCGCAAACGAAGTTCCTCCGGCCTGAAAGTCGACACCGGACGGCTCCTGGACAGACTTATGATCGTCCACTTGACCGACATCATGCTCTCCAAGATTACCTCCGGTCTGTGCACTGTAGACGCCATCACCCGACGTAGATGGATTCTGTTGCCCAACTCCATCAAGTGACCTTGGTTGCTCAGATAGACCAGGCGGCGTTCTGACATGCCCACCGAGTACCTGAGATTGCACTGGAAGTCCATCGGAAGCCCGAACATATTCTGAGCCGCCTTGTCCTCCAAGTACCTGAGATTGCACTGGAAGTCCGTCAGGAGCCCGAACGTATTCCGAGCCTCCTTGCCCTCCGAGTACCTGAGATTGCACTGGAAGTCCATGGGAAGCCCGAACATATTCCGAGCCACCTTGCCCTCCAAGTACCTGAGATTGCACTGGAAGTCCATGGGGAGCCCGAACATATTCCGAACCACCTTGCCCTCCAAGTACCTGAGATTGCACCGGAAGTCCACTAGGAGCCCGAACATATTCTGAGCCACCTTGCCCTCCAAGCGCCTGTAACTGAACAAGATGCCCTGAATTACCAGCCAGGTTCAAGTCTTCCCCGCCCTCATTGCCACCTTGTCTTGGTAGTGGGAGCGGGCCCTCGCCTCGGTTCACCTCAGACTGATTTCCAGCATCGATAAACTGCATCACCAACTCTCTCAGCTGCTGATTCTCTTCCTCAAGCTTCTTTGTAGTGCTCTCACGTTCTTCCAGAGCAAGCCGTACCTGCCGCTTCACCTCCTCTGCTACAGCCTCCTGGTTAATCGAGCCACTTGATGATTCTTCTCCCGCTGCTCGACGAGGCTTTGGCGTGAGCAGCGAAGGTCTTGTAGTCCACGAGGTCATAGCCTGTCTCAAATCTGGGCTCATTAAAGGAGGACCGCCTTCTGTAGGTGTGGCTGGTTGCGAGTGCCACACAGAGGTTGGGGATGCTTCAGGAGTGCCCAAACGAGGTACTCCTGCCGTCTGCACTTGCTCCATCATAGGGCTAACAACACGCCTCTGCAAGACTTCGCTCACACGAGTCCACCAAGTAGGAACGCGTGATTGGCCTCGTTGTACTTGCATCCCAGGTTGTGCCGAAGACCCTGTTCCTGGAACATGTTCAACAGTCATCTCTCTACGGAGTTCTACTTGCTCAACAGCTCCATGCTGCAACAGGCTTTCCCGTGCTCTCTGCTGAACCAATTCTGACACCGTAGAGGTCCCCAAACGCGGTTGCTGTGTAGTCACCTGAGGCATAGGCAAGGTAGCTTGCTGCTGCGCTGCCGCGTCTGCTGGTGCCGCTTCTAGCTGTTCTTGCGTCTGCTGGGGCTGCTGTGGTGCTGGTGGGTTCTGTTGTCCTTCAACCATAACCCCACTAGACCCAACTCCTTGCGTCGCCTCAGACTCAGTTGCCACAACGCGTTCGGCCGATCCGGTTGCCCTGCGCTGAGGGACTTCGGAGTTCCCTTGACGGGCCGAGGAGCTTGTTGTGGTAGTCGTCGGAAACTCCCTTGCTGTACCGTTAAGCAACGGCTCTTGTCCTGCGGCTCCGTAGTTAGGTTCCGACACCTCGCCTTCCAAGCTGTTTGGCCTTCTAGCCTGTCTTGCGTCACGTGATTGGGCACTCATAACCTGAAGAAACTTCAGAGCTTCGGAAGGGCTTACAGGGCGGTAACCATGGCGAATTCAGCGGACACAAACGTTTTCACTGCACGACAAAGAACTGCGAATGTACACGCCTAAGGATCTAAGACTTTACAAGGCTCTTAGACCTTGGCTCTCAAGTGTTCTGTCAATGGCAGTTCGTGAGCTATGCTCGAGCTTCAACTCTCGCACGCAACCACATCTTCAACAGGTTTATTACGACCCCTTATATGGATCCCAATATTTGGGGTTATAGGACCAAAGTCCTTAAATAATGATTACTTGGACCTTAGGGTTAGCCAGGAGTGCGATCCGCTTTCCATCGAAAGCAAAGCACTGGAGCTCCTCTCGCAGCTGAACTCTCGCCTCTCGGCCTCCGGGCAGGGTTTAGGGTTTAGGGTCTTAGAGTTTAGGGTTTTAGAGTTTAGGGTTTATAGAGGGTTCAGGGTTTAGGGTTCAGGGTTTAGGGTTTAGGATTTAGGTTGGGGGGTTTCAGAGGGTTTTGCATAGGCTTTGAGATTTAGGGTCCGGCAGGTTTTGCTAAGGATTTAGGTCGGGGTGTAGGGTTTAGGCTTTGCTTCGGCTTTGGGTATTCGGATTTTCTGTTGGCTTTAAGGGTTTGAGTTTTTTGTCGAGGTGGTTTAGGATCCAGTGAAAGCAAACAAGCGGGGCAGGCACGTGGAATACTGTGGGATCCTCGCTTATTTATTAGACTATGCCCCAAAACCCTACTGAAATTATCATGGCCCCCAAATTCCGTTTCGTCTAGGCAGAGGGTCGGCTTCGAGTGCGAACCCACAAATCCTGTGAGCTGCTGTGCCGGAGCTGGGATACCTCTTTGGGACATCGTTCTGGTATGTTGCTTCAGACAAAGCCGCGGCTCCTTGCAGAAGTTGCCGTGATGAAATGAAGCTGATGCTCATGGTGGGGGTTTAGGGTTTAGGATTTAGGGCTTATGGCCACCTAGTGGAACATCCGGCAGGTGATGCGGTGATGCTCAGAATGCCCCTAGTTTGGGGCTTGTGGTAGAGCGTGCGGCAGCTACTGCTCCTGACGCTCGCTGAGGAAGCGGTGGAACAGCTGCTGCTCATGATGCTCGCTGATTGCTTACAGCAACGTGCTGCAGCTGATGCTAGTGATGCTTGCTGTGTCAGGGCTGCTGCTGGAACATGCAGCAGCTGATCCTCATGATGCGCGCAGGTGCTGGTATGTGCAGCAGCTAATGGTGGCGATCAGCTAATGGTGGTGATATTCGTTTGTGGCTCATGGCACAGCGGCTTGTGACGGAACCTGCGGCAGCTGATGCTCATGATGCTCGCTGGTTGCGGGCAAGTTTCTGGAACGTGCAGCAGATGATGCTTATGATGCTGGCAGCTCGGCTTATGATGCTTCGGTCGAATGCGCGGCAGCTGATGCACGTGATGCTCGCTGGCTTGCGGCTTGTGGTGGAGCATGTGCCGGCTTGCGCTCATGATGCTCGTGACGCTCTCGTGTTCTTGGCCTGTAAATGGGCGTGCAGAAAGCAGCTAGTGCGGCTGATGCTTCTGATGCTCGCTGGTTGGCGGCATGTGATGCAACATGCAGCGGCTGATGCCCAGGATGCTCGCGAGTTTGGGTAGTGGAATGCACGGCTCATGCTGCCGGCTGGTTGGGGGCTTGTGTCGCAGTTGATGATCGTGGTGCCTGCTGGTTTGAGAATTGTGTTCCCTACCCTAAACCCTAAACCCTAAACCCTACGCCGACAAGTTCAGAAGGCAGGTCCTCGACCTGAACTCGTACAGAACGACTCAGGGGTACTTAGATATATTGTTTAATTTTTGGGTTTAGGGTTTAGGCTTTAGGGTTTAGGGATGATCCCCAAGACACAGGCTAAGATTATGATGTTTGTGAGTTCGTGAGGGGTAGCAAGTACAGTATAGAGAACTGGTGGGTAGCTGTACGTGGCCTCCACAAGGAACAGGAACTGCTCTTGCTTGCAACTGCTCGAGCGGTAGTGGCCGTAGTGAAGGCCGGGACCCCATTGAGAACTAACCTGAAACCCTACACCCGTAAGTTCGGAAAGCTGTGCAATCTTATCCCCCGGCCCCCCGCTGGGCTCCCTAACCCAAAGGCTCTAAGGACTCATAGTCTAAGGCTTTTGGGCCCAAAGACCATACCAAAAGGGCTTTTGGGGCTATTTTGAGCCTTAGGGTATCCTAGGTAGTATTAGGGAGACCCCTTAAAGGGGACCCTTCTGAACCCTACTTGTGGCTCTCTTAAAGGGGACCTTATTGAGAGGGTCGATATCCCCCAGGGTCCCCCTAGTCCTAACTCCCAGGGTAAGAACGTGAATAAAACCCCTTAATTGAGGAATATACCTCAAATCATAATATAAAGCCCCTGAGAATCTAAGGTATGATCCTTAATTAAGGCTTAATTAAGGAATATACCTTAAATTATAAGGGGCTCCCTAATTAAGGGGTATTGGGCTCTCTAAGAACGTGAATCCTAGAGCTATGACGCAGAACGCATCATCTCTCCAAGCCCATCTGAGGCCGGAGGACCTGAAACCCTGAGCAAAAAATGCCTAAAGTAGAAGTCTGTTTAGGGTTTATAGGGTTTTGGGGATTTAGGGTTTAGGGTTTAAGGTCTCATTAATGTAGAAGTCTTTTTAGGGATAATAGGGTTTATAGAGTTTATAGGTCTTAGGGTTTATAAGGCTTAGGTGTGAAGGTTTAGGGGTTTTGGGTTTGAAAGATTAGGGTTTGGGGTCTGATTGATGATGGGATGCTCTTCCTAATGGGCTTCTGATGATATTTCTACTCTGGAGCATCCCCCCCCCCCACACTCCAAGTAGTATTAAGGCCACCCTATTTACCCTCAAACCCTAAACCCTAAACAACAACAAAACCCTAAACCCAAACCCTAAACCCTAAACCTCAAGCCCTAAACCCAAAACCTCAAACCTAAGCCTTAAACCCTAAACCTTAAACCTAAGCCTTAAACCCTAAACCCTCAAACCTATAAGCCCTAAGCCCTCAAACCCTAAACCTAAACCTTAAACCTACACCTTAAACCCTAAACCTCAAACCTAAGCCCTAAACCTAAA